CGAGAGGAATTACTGAAACCCAAATGAAGGCTGAGCATGATAGTGGGACAAGAGGAAAAAGGAAATAGAGGAAAGAGCTAGGAGGCATAGGGCATTTATAGAGGTCTAAATAAAGGCATGTATATATGTAAATATATTTATATATAAGGATGGAGAAACAGAGCTATGTGCATATATATATAGATTTGTATTAAGGTAGCAGATGGACATTGGGCCTCCACTCAAGTACTCCCTCAATGCAAGAACACTTTGTTCCATTAAACTGGCATTCCATGACTCTCACCTTCCCAACACGATTGCTGAAGACAAATGGGTGCATAAGCAAATGTGGTGAAGAAAGCTGATGATACCTGGCTATCAAAAGATATAGTATCTGGGTTCTTAAAGGCTTGAAGGTAAACAAGCGGCCATCTAGCTCAAAAGCAACAAAGCCCACATGGAAGAAGCACACCAGCCTGTGTGATCACGAAGTGTCGAAGGGATCAGTTATCAGGCATCAAAGAACAAAAAATCAAATCATTGTGAATGAGGGGGAGTGCAGATTGGGGACCCAAGACCCATATGTAGGCAACTGGACATCCACTTACAGAAGGGTCTCGGGGAAGAGATGAGCCAGTCAGGGTGCAGTGTAGCAACGATGAAACATACAACTTTCCTCTAGTTCCTAAATGCTTCCTCCTCCAACTATCCCAATCCCCCCTGATCCCAATTCTACCTTACAAATCTCACTAGACCAGAGGATGGTACAGATAGGAACTGGAAACACAGGGAAACCAGGACAGGTGATCCCTTCAGGACCAGTGGTGAGAGTGGCGGTACCGGGAGGGTGGAGGGAGTCGGGCGGAAAGGGGGAATAGATTATAAGGCACTACATATAACCCCCTCCCTGGGGGATTAACAACAAAAAGTGGGTGAAGGGAGACAATGGACAGTGTGAGATATGACAAAATAATAATTTATAACTTATCAAGGGCTCATGAGGGAGGGGAGAGCGGGGAGGGAGGGGAAAAATGAGGATCTGATGCCAGGGGCTTAAGTGGAGAGCAAATATTTTTAGAATGATGAGGGCAACAAATGTACAAATGTGCTTTACACAACTGATGTATGTATGGATTGTGATGAGTTGTATGAGCCCCCAGTAAAATGATTTAAAAAAACATCTTGAGTAGGAAAATGGGAAGAGATCAAAAATAGAGTCAAGGTTACCAGAGGCTAATGAGGGGATGGAGAGTAGAGCATTATTGCCCAATGGATATAGAGCTTCTGCTCGGGTGACGAAAAATCTTGGAAATAATGGTGATGGTTGCACAATATTGTGAATGCAATGACTGCCACAGACTGCATTATACACTCTTAAACGGCCAGTTTTACCTGCACCAGCAAGCCTCTTACTCAGAGACACTCACCATCAGATGGTGAGAAGCTGTGGCAGAGAAATGGCAGCAGCATAGGCAAAGAACCGGGAGATGGCATGGCGGATTTCCTGGCCCACAGAACAACAAAAGTGTCACTGAGTCAGAGGCTTGCTGGTGCAGGGGGATGCCTCAGGGTGCTTATCAGTGGAGCTAAAGAGCTTTGTAACACTTGCCCAAGTTGGTCAGAGACAGGGCTGAGGGCTGGAGAGACCTCCCTGCTGGTACGGCAGAGAAGAGATTGTCCTGATAGAAGAACTGTATCTTGAGTAGTTCCTAAACCTGAGTTAGAACCTGTTACTTCCCTAGAACACAGATGACACAACCTCGCCTGTTGAAAGCGAGGAGGACTTGCCGATGAAGATCAAGGACTGCAGCCTTCAGTATAGATTGCAAGTCAATGTAAAGAACACCTAAATCCTCACAAGTGGCCCGAGAGACAACATTATGATCAATTGAAGCTGTCAAGGTTTCCCTTTTGCTTGGATCCACAGACAATGCTCACCGAAGCAGCAGTCAAGAAACCCAATGATGTTATCACATTGGGCAGATCTGCTGCACAACACCTCTTTAAGGTGCTGAAGAGCCAGGATGTCACTCTGAAGACCAAGGTGTGCCTGACCTAACCCACAGTATTTTCAATCACTTCATATGCATATGAAAGTCGCACAGTCTAGAAGGAAGGCCACAGAAGAATTGTTGGTTTGAATTGATGGTGCTGGCGAAGAATATCGAAAGCTCCAAGGACTGCCAGAAGCAGCAGCCAATCTGTCTTGGAAGTCCAGCCAGAATGTCCCTTAGAAGGGAAGATGGCACGCTGTCATCCGATGTACTTGGACATGTCTTCGGAGAGAGCAGTCCCTGGGAAAGGATATCGCACTTGGGAAAAGAGTGGTTAGTCAAAAAGAGGAAGGCTCCCGGTGAACTGGACTGACGCAGTGGTTCAGCAGTAGCCTCAACTATAACCGCAGTTGTGGGGATGACGCAAGGCTGAGCAGTGTTTGTGCTGCTGTGAATGGGGTCGCTATGAACCGGAACCAGCTAGACAGCCCTGAATCACAACAGCACTCCTTGCCTAATAAACCCATCATTGTGAGTCTTTGCTGAGCCTTCTGGGTGGCCATTGGCATGAATTATTGAACCCAGCAGAGGAGCAGAGAGCTCTGCGGAAGAGATGGCTGCTGTCAGACTCGGTGAAGAGGCTGGGGAAAGGTGGCCTTCTGACTTCACCGCGTAGGACTCTGTCGTGGGTTGATGCTGGCGGTGATTCTTTCCCCAGTGAAGTCAGAGGAGGGTAGGCCCTGCTGCCGTGCCATGCCTTTCTTACAACTACACTGCAATGGGGATGAACCTAGAAAACATTTTGCTAAGCGAAATAAGCCACAAAAAGGCCACGCACATACTGCATGGTTCCACTTCTAGGAAAGATCCCGAAGAGGCAAATCCAGAGACAGGATAGAGACTAGGGTTTGCCAGGAAGTGGGTACTTCCTGGGTTTCCTTTAGGGATGATGACTATTCCCTGGAAGTAGGTAGTGCTGATGGCCGCATTATGAATGTACTACCTGCCACTGAATTTGCACACTTTAAGATGATTAAAATGGGGAATTTAAAAAATCATTTTATTAGGGGCTCATACAACTCTTATCACAACCCATACATACATCAATTGTGTAAAGCACATTTGTACATTCA